TTATGTACCAGTGAATGCTTTATCACAGCCTCTCTGTATTTGGGAAGGGGAAAATGAGCAAGAAGTCTCCCACAAATAATGGTTTTAACATAAGCTACCAATACTTCATTTGTATTTAAAAAAGAAAAAGTTAGGCAGTGTGTTGTGCAGAAAACACAGTCATTCTGGATTAGATGTTTAGCATTTACAGTATAATTGTACCAAAACTTACAAATTCTAAAACCTAACAAAATATTTTCTCCTAAAGACCACTGGAGAAGTTTATCCAATAATGCATTATGAAACCACACCATACCGTAGGATTCCTACTGATTGTCTCACTGGGACAGAGGATACTTTCATTTATAGAAGTGGAGTTCAAATACAAGGTAAGATATTAATTATTACACTTCAGACAAAACCATAGTTACTAACTATACAACACAGCAACGTTACCGTTTTAAAAAGTACCAATATCACTATCATATGAGCTTAAAAGTATCAATATCACTGTCAGTTTGTATGTCAGAAATAAACTGGCTCATGCTATATTGTCACATCTTAAATCAATTTTTGTCCTTACTTTTGTGCCATTGGTGTAAGAATCTGTTTCATTTCGTCCAAGATTGCCTCTCTCTTTTCAGGCTGAGCTTCTAACACTTTATCCAGTGTTGGGACAACTGGTGTCTGAAATGAACACATGATCAGAGGTTTAATCTTTCCCAGTAAGAATCAAGAGTTCATAGAAAATTATAATCTTTTGATTTTCAATCAAAATTCATGAACAATATCACAAACAAAATTAATTTTCTGCAAAACTAACAGTTTTTACCATTTTAAAAATAAAAAGCTAGTCTACTTTGAGTATGTCAGAAGCTGTATACTTGAAGTTTCTACAAATTGACTATATTGTTGTATACTTGAAGTTTCTACAAAGTGACTATTCATCATTAGCAAACAAAAGCTACTTCTATGGTCAGCGCTTCATGAGACTGTCAGATACAAGGCAAAATACATAAAACTGGCATTGTGTCAAGGGCTGAGCTAAGCAGAAATACTGCATGACAGTATGCATATGTCAGGGGGCAACACAGAAACAAGTCAAGAGAAGTGAACTGAGAAGTTAACCAAGACCCATAAAATTCCAGTTCAAGGACAGCAGAGAGGAAGAATATATACCATATACTTTAAATAAAGAAGTACTTCCTGGTATAGCTTTTAAACAACTACACCAGTAACTCTTGTAAAATAATCTGTTGTCAGAAGCATAGTCTGAGTAGACAGAAAATTAGAAGAAATGTATTTCTAACCATCCCTGCAGGAGCGGAAATTGGGGTGGGAGAGCTGGAAGCAGAAGGAGGAAAAGCAAACCCCCCATTTCCAAACTACAAGAAATTCCAGGTCTTGTCAAGGATTACATTGTAATTTTTTATAAACCCACGTATTGTCTCAGTTTTGCAATGCAATGTAAGAATACTTGAAGCACTCATGCCAAGAATGCTAGAATGATGGAAGCTAACGCTGCACTTGATTTCAGAGGCTATTTTACTCCCTGTACAAATTACAGCCCACAAACACAGCAAACATGCCTTTTTATTACAGTGTTGCAAAATGCTTTACAAGAACCTGTGAAGAAAAACAGCAATATGGTTCAAAAATTAACTGTTCATTTCTTACACAACTTTAACAGAAATCTTGGGTAAAAGCATGCTGTGTTGTACACTGGGGTGCAAAGTCACTCTAGAGTAGTTAATAGCTGCGTAGAGCAGTTTTGTACTTTGCAGTAAAAAAACCTTTTTGTGCCTCTAATGGAAATCAACTTTGAAGTCAGCAAGAAAGAAGGAAAAAAACAGAAGTCAAAAGAAAGGAGATTGTACTTTTAAAAAAAGTTCCAGCTGCCAGGTGAGAATCTACATCGAAATTTTTTCAAGAGAGTTTGGACTCAAGTTCTATAGTCTCCATGGGAAAAGAAAACAAAGCCAAAAATGAAGCCTAAATGGTATACTGTATATAAATACTGGCACATTCTGCCCGCAACTCAGGTCACATGACTGACAAGGCAGTTCTGACAGAAAAGACATCTACTGCATTAACAGGGATTTTAAGCCTAAATATCAGCGAGGATGACCACTTCAGGCTAGACACTACGACACTATGGTAATTGCAACTGTATGCTATTAGATTGCCTTTGGTGAGCAGAGCAAACTCATACACAAACATAATACATTTTACATAGTTCAAACTGAAAAAATAGAAGAATTTAATCTAGAGTAGGAATGTGCAAGTAATCATAACATTTAAACATGCTAAACCAGACTACATTTGAACAGATGACAGAAAGAAATTCAATCAAAAGAAACAGTAGGTAAGGGATTACAAACACAATACCTTAGATGCTACAACACCTTAGACTAGAAAGTACTGAAACATCACCTTGTAAACCTGGAAAGTGTTCCCATATAGTTCTTCTGTCAGCATATTCCTCTGCTCCAGAATGGCTTTGTCATTATAAGCGTATTCCACTACAGCAGATGCTTCGGCATGACGCAGCATTTTTTTCACATGGCCTTTAAAACTTTTTATTATTTCTGCAACTTGTTGTTTTGTCCTGTTTCACCGGGAAAGACAGATAGCAATAGATTTATTTTTGGGGGCATATTTAGGTGAGAATTTTTAGCATAGAAACCAGGAAACATATGCATCTGTATCAGCCGTAACAGCATTTATGAAAATATGCAAGTAAGACGGGAATCTGGAGAAATCATAAGGCATTTGGAGTGAAAGAAAAGAAACTTGTGGATAAATTCTACAGAATAAAGAATGCCGTCCTGAAACACTGAGCAGAGAAATTTTTTAAAAGCCAGTTTTTTATATACGGCAAAGATTAGCTTTAAGCATATATTTGAGCTTTTTTTGGCGTATGTTTTCCGCTATGTGTACAGCTTTAGCCTTACTTTTTGCAAAAGGAAAACTACTCTTAGCAATACCAAGACACTATCCTGTCCCATTAGTATTACGAAGAGACGTGTTGTTTTATGCATGATCAATGGACTACAGATTAAGAGCCACATTTACACTCACCCATACATAAGAAACTTCTTCACAATATTTCTGGAGTATTTTGACTTGCTCAACTCTATAAAGCTATCTAGAAAAAGAGAAAAACATTCAGCTGGTTTGATTTTTCACTACATCAGCTTTACAGAACAAGATGCCAAACAAGTAAGTTCTAAGAGCTCACTAGGAACGATGCATCAGTTCATCAGAAAGTTAAAAATATTCAAGAGAAAATAATATGGCTTGTTTTAATGCATCCTAACAACAATACAGAAGCATATAGGTAAAATGTAAATGGGAAGAAAGTACCTTTCAGTTCTTCAAATGCCTCTTGCCTTTGCTTCTCATTACCATACTGAATAAAGCACTGGATCACTCGAGTTGAATCATGTGCAAACGCCAGCTACAGGACAGAGGTATTTCATTATCCTAGGCTGTGCAAATGGCATTATGCACCAAATTTAGTTTAATGCACTTGCTCTGTGATATAGTTTTATTCCATACGTAGCACGTAATGCTAATTATAAAAGTAGTAACGTTTTATAACAAATTAAGCAGACAGACTGTTTAGTATAGTTAAGTATCAGGACATTAACTTCTCTAAAAGAAAGCTGCAAAGCAACAATTGTAATTAATCAAAACTCTGAGTGACTGGTTTTGAAGTTCAGTTAACGCAGAATTTCACTGGACTAAAGCTGCTTGGCAAAACAGACAGCCTTAAAACAGCCAGACAACAGACAAAGCATCCCAGGGCTACTGTCCGGAAAACTAGGTGCCAAATGCAGCCTTTCAACCCTGTTTTTGTTGTTTTTCACTCACAGCTTTAAAAAAAAAAATCCCCGTAGTTTTTGGAAGAACAGGTTAGCACTGTATTATTAAAAGTTCATTTATTCTTCACCATTCTTTAAAGAAGCTTTTGTGAATGTGTGCACTATGGTATTAGTTTTTCTTACACTTTTAATTTTTCCATGAAGAAGCTTCTGTAGTTCATTCACTAGCTTTTCTCGCTTCTCCTTATCACATTTCTTCCTGTAACAAAAAAAAAAAACCCAACAAAACACCAATATTATTTTTTTGTGATATGATTCACTTACATCTATAAATTCAGAAGCAAGACAGTACAAAATAAAATTGTTTGCTCCTGCTAATCCAAATTTGCATTGTAATTCATTAAACCTCTAGATAAATGTAATCAAGCAGCTTCAGCTCCTAGAAACCAAACCAGACTGCCACACTTCAAAATTATTCTTTTCCAAGTAACATTATTATTAAAAAGGATATAAACTCAAATCTGTAGCCAGAGTTCTCTGCAGTTCCAGAGATCTGTAAGTATCATACAGCCAAAGCTGCAAAGCACAGACACTTAAAGCAAGTAAAATTAATTCCCCCTTGTGACATGGAGCCTCAGTTCTAGAATTACAGCTGCCCAGAGAGAGTATACAAAACTCCATGAAAAAAATCATGTGGTGATCCCACTGTAAGATCAGGCTGAATCAGTACATGCTCTTTGTTTCCAGATTCAAAAAATAAGACAAGTCTTTAAGCATTTACTCACCAATTTTAGCCTAAAATACAAGTTTGCTTAATCCAGACATTTTTAGCATCATGGATCACCACATTCTGCTTGCAACTTATAACTAAAAGCCAACTGATAGAAAGAAAAAAAAAAACAGAACCTGACACATTACTACCTTCTCACACTTTCCCATATCTGCTTTGATTTTACAATTATATCATAATTGCTTTTATCATTAATTTGTCTGGCTTGCTTTAACTCCTTCCTTTTCTTCTTGAAGTCATTCCACTTTGGCTTCTTAGAATCTGACCCTGAGGACAAAAAGAAATACATTTTCTATAGTCAATAAAAGAGGAGCAATGGAATTATTTATGAGTATAAGCTGTGACAGCTCTGTGGCTTTAACTGCTAACAATTCAGGAGCTTTGTCTGCAGCTACCCAGCTAGCTAATATGAAAGTGAAAATATTTAATAAGTATGCTAAGATAGTAATTTGCACTTCCAGAACACTACAAGAACAAGGCAAATAATAATTTTTCCTCAAAGGTGTGTGAAAGGATGTATCAAAAACCTCTTAACAGCTTGAAAATTGACTCAAAATGCACCTAGCACCCTATGACTGCCCCAAGTAATTCCCCCTTTTTAGTTCACCCTCTACTCAATACATACCTTTGTCCTCTCTCAAAAGAAGAGCCCTAACTCAAAGATATGTGAGAAAGGAAAAAAGCCTTTTACATGGTTCATCTTTCTATTCAGTCAAATTCCTTAAGCATGGGATTAACAGCAAAACACTGACACACAACTCAGTTATGGTAACTTCACAGAAAGTGCCACAAATGAGTTATGGAAAAACTTGCAAATATTTGATTTTAGTTTTATTCATACCTTGACAAAAGCCATCATCTTATATTACATGGTTTCACAGAAGCAAGTTATGCTATCTATTACTTCTATATGGAATATAAAAGTCCCAGCTTCAAATTTTTAGACTTTAAAGCATTGTTTGTCAGTATTTAGCAGCATGCATTTAACTGTCTTGCCATCCAAAAACCATGGTCTCTTTTTACAAAGCCTATTATCGATTTTTCCTATCACTCTCCTAAAGAAATAGTGACAAGTAAGAACAGTAACACTTTACGTGCAATACAGAGTAGCTTTCAGTTATTCTCACAAACAACATTTAAATGGTAGTGGTTGTGTTTCAGGTTTTTTTGTAAAGCAGCTTAATATGAACATTCTATTCCTATTAAGTTTTCAGTCATCTAGTGCATATTCCATGTGAAGCCCTTCTGCAGACATGCAAAAACAAAATACTTAACACCTTCCAGGTTGTGGAGTCTCCTTCTCTGGAGACATTCAAAACCCGCCTGGACGCCTTCCTGTGTGATCTCATTTAGGTTCCTGCTCCGGCAGGGGGATTGGACTGGATGATCTTTCGAGGTCCCTTCCAATCCCTCACATTCTGTGATTCTGTGATTCTACTGTCCTTCAAACAATGGGGTTTTTTTGCAGAACTTTAGAATCCCTCACATAAGATTCCACTTATTGTACAGTGCTGTTATTATTGTTGCAGTGGAGCTTTCCTTCACAGCAGAGGAACATGAAGTTCTCATGTACCAGAAACAAAGTTAAAAAAGAAATAAATTTAAACAGTGATAAAATCAGACGTTTATTTAGCCTCTCTGTATAAACACAAAAATGAGCTGTAAAATGTAAAACAATTATAACACCAACAATGACTTTTTTTAAAAAAAAAATATTTTAAAAACAGTGTCTAGATAGTTTGGACCACAAGAAAAAATAATATAAAAGATAATAAAACTTTGCTGCATGAATTTTTGTGCTCTAAATTTTATAGCCAGTACTTTCAGAACAGAGGATTTAATTTCTAAAATGGTCTATGAAAAACCCTGTATTTTCCAAATTTGTGTGAAAAACAGCCAGTTTCAAGCTAGCCACTTAATACTGTAATTAAAATAATCATAGCTTTATGATGGCATCCCAATTATTTAAATTTGCTACTCCAGCTTTACTTTTGTCTTCCAAGAAAATTTATAACTGTTGATTCTCATGACTTTGGCCTCAAGCTTAGTCAGGTGAAGTAAATTTTTCCACAGCAAAGATTAAACATCAAGTAAACTTGAAGTCATTCAGCCAACTTGGAAAAGTGGTAACAAGAT